AGCTGACTCATGGAGTTTCTTCTTAGTTTATCGCTTTATTTAGTAGCGTCTTGCTCTGATTGTGTAACATCGGGTTGGGAATGCTTGTTTTATTTTTATGATATATTTATGTTGAAGTCATAAGACTAATTATGTTGTTGAGCATTCCTAAGTTGTTTTGAGTTGAATATTATAACTCTTTTGCTTATACTATGAAGTTAAATTTTATGAGAATAAATGTCACGAGAGTCAATATTGTTATTAATTATTTTATTAATGATTTTATTGTGATGATGCCATAAATAACTGGGTGAGCGTGCAATGACATAATGAATCAGATGTGTTGGATGTCATGTAAACATCCTAGGCATGAATCAGATGTGTTGGATGTCGTGTAAACATCCCAATTACAAATTTATATCTTTGGACTACTCTGTTGGAACCCGTGTTACGGAGCAGGGTGCGTGTTTTTTATGTGTGTGACACCCTATGTGGTTGTATTTATAATTAAAATTATGTGATAATTGCTTGTGGGGTATAAGGTGTTACATTAATGGTATCAGAGCAAGTTGGTGCATATGTCCAGGTTTTTGTATGTTGTTTGTTCCTTAGTACGTGACATGTGTGTGAAACAATGTCGGTGCTTGCTTGCTTTTCTAATCGTTTTCCTGCATGAGTGAGATTGAAACAAGTGGGGGTGAAGCTTTTTCTTCTGAGACGTTTTAGTTGTAGAGTGTTGGTTCGGTGTGTTGTTGATTTCAAGAGTGCATGTGTTATTGAGGTGGTGTTGTTCCAGAATCCGAAGAGATTATGGATTCTATATTCATATATTTCGGTCAAGTCGAAGTGTCCTTGAGAGGGGGTGATCATGTACTTGTGTGGTTTACATCTTTGAGAGTGGAGAGAGATTTTGTGGTAATTGATATACCTATTGTGTATGAGTTTCCTGATATTTTTCACAGAGATATTCGTGACTTGCTGCCATAACGAGAATTTGAATAACCTTGGTGTTATCCTTGGAATGAACTAGTTGGAGTTCAATCGTGTTCATATCGATTGTTACACTAAAATATTGAAATCTCCAAAGTTCGTGGAGGATAAGGATTTGTTTGTATCTTTTAAGCAAATAGATTAATATGTGAAAGATGATGCACTAATGTTTATGGTGTTAGCTTCGTTGGATGCCAAGGGTAAGGGAGTAATTAGTGAGCTACCTATCATTTGTGATTTCCTAGATGTGTTTCCTGAAGACATCGATGATTTGTCAAATATCTGAAAGTTATATTAGAACTGTTGAAAGAGAATTAAGTGTATGCTAAGTTATCCAAGTGCGGGTTTTGGTTAAGAGAAGTGAGTTTCGTCGGTCATGTGATTTTTAGTGGAAATATTGTTGTTGATCCTTCGAAGGTTATGGCTATGTTGTAGTGGGATACTCTGAAGCGTGTCATCAAAATTCGAATTTTTTATTGGATTAGCTGGTTATTATCAAAAGTTCATCGAGGGTTTTTCTAAGTTGGCACTGCCATTAACTCCACTAACTAGGAAAGGTCAGATATATGTGTGGGATATGAAATATGAAGAGAGTTTCCAAGAACTTAAGAAGAGGTTAAAGTCGACTCCATTGTTTCCATCTAAATCTTTTGTTTTGTATTGTGATGCTTCTAAGATGGGTATGAATGGTGTGTTGATGCAGAATGGACAATTTGTGGCTTATAATTCGAGACAACTTAGAGTTCATGAAAAGAATTGTCCTACATATGATTTAGAATTCACTGTTGTTGTGTTCGCACGTAACATTTCGAGACATTATCTATTTTGCTCTAGATTTGAAGTGTTCAATGATCATAAGAGTTTGAAGTACATGTTCAATCAAAATGTAATAAATATGAGATAAATGAGGTGAATTGAGTTGTTGAGAGACTATGATTTTGGTTTGAATTACCACTTGGTAAAGCCAATGACGTAACTGATGCCTTGAGTTGAAAGACATTGAATATGTCGACCTTAATGGCGAAAGTGTTAGATTTGATTGAAGAATTTAGATATTTGAGTTTAGTTTGTGAAGTCACACAGTAGAGTGTGAAGCTGAGTATGTTAAAGCTTAATAATAGTGTTATTCGAGAGATTATAGGAGGTCAGAGGGCTGATTTGATATTGGTTTATTAATTAACTTTAATCAATCAAGGACAAGGTGGTGAATTCAGAATTGATGAGAATGATGTAATCAGATTCAGAGATATAGTTTGTGTTCCTGATGTGCCAAAACTTAAGAAGAGTATTCTTGAGGAACGACCCCGAAGTGGTCTGAGTATTCATCCTGGTGCTACGAAAATGTATCAAGACTTGAGAAAGATCTTTTGGTGGCCTGGAATAAAAAAAGAAGTTGTAGAATTTGTGTATGCGTGTTTGACTTGCCAAAAGATGAAAGTTGAGCATCATAAGCCGTCAAGTTTGATGCAACCATTGTATATTCCTAAGTGGAAATGAGGACATCATTTCGATGGACTTTGTGTCTATATTTCCAAGGACAATGATGGGTTGTGATACTATTTGGATTATTGTGGATAGGTTGACTAAATCGGCTCATTTCATTCTGATTCGACTTAATCGTCCGTTGAAGAAGTTAGCAGAGCTATATATCGAGAGGATTGTAAGTTTGCATGGGATGTCATTCATTATTGTGTCTGATAGAGATCTGAGGTTTACATCAAGATTTTTGGAGAGTTTTCAGGGGGATTTAGGCACAGAGTTACGTTTGAGTTATGCTTATCATCCGCAGACAGATGCTCATACAAATATGACTATCCAATCTTTAGAAGACTTGTTGAGAGCTTGTGCGTTAGATTAATGAGGTGCTTGGGATAGTTTTTTACCATTGGTTGAGTTTCCCTATAACCAAAATTTCCATTTAAGTCTTGGAATAGCACCATTTAGGGCGTTGTATAGTAGAAGGTGTAAGACACCTTTATGTTGGTATGAGTCAGAGAGGTTTTTGTGATTAGGCCTGAGATTGTCCAACAAACAATAAAGATCAAAGTGATCCAGGAGAAGACGAGAGCTTCCCAGAGTCGCCAAAAGAGTTATCATGATAAACGAAGAAAACTTGAGTTCTGAGAGGGAGATCACATGTTTCTGAGAGTTACTCGTCGAGCTTTGAAGTCTTGAAAATTCACTCTATATTTTATCAGTCTGTACCATATTGTGAAGAGGATAAGAAAAATGGCCTATCAGACTGCCTTATCATCGTTGCTTGCTAATCTTCATGATGTGTTTCATTTGTCTCAATTGAGAAGATATATTCCAGATTCGTCTCATGTGATCCGAGTGGATGATGTACAAGTGAGAGATAATCTAATTGTTGAGGTATCACCCATGCGGATAGAGGATCTGGAAGTGAAGCATCTACGCAGTAAGAAGATCACCTTGGTGAAGGTAGCTTGGGGAGGGACAGCTGGTGGAAATGTAACTTGGGAGATTGAGAGCGAGATGGAAGAGTCATGTCTAAATCTATTTACTTAAGGTAATTTTTTAGGGCATAAATTCTTTAAGTGGAAGAGAGTTGTAACACCCCAGTATTGTTGGGTTTTTTGAGTGAGGATAGAGAGATAAATCTAAAAAATGTTAAAAATATGTTGAGCATTTGTAAGTTATTAAGTTGACAATTACAACTCTTTTGCTTATACTTTGAAGTTAAATGTTATGAGAATAAATGTCATGAGTTCCAATATTGTTGTTAACTGTTTTATTAATGATTTTGTTGTGATGATGCAATATATAATTGGGTGAGTGTGCAATGACAGACATGAATCAAATGTTTTGGATGTCATGTAAACATCCCACATCAAATATGTTAGATATCGTATAAACATCTCAATTACAAATGTATATCTTTAGACTACTCTATTAGAATATGTGTTACAGAACAGAATTTTTTTTATGTGTGTGATACCCTACAAAGTTATATTCATAATTAAAATTATGCAATAATTTCTGGTGGGAATACATCACAAGAGGTAGTTATTTTGATGAGATTTTATGGCTTAAACAACCATTACTTGATTTTGAGCTTAAATAACAATTACTTGATTTTGACATTAAACTTCAATGTATTCTAGTAATGTGCAACAATAATAGTATATTAACTAAACAACATATTAAGATACATCACAATTTCTTATGCAATCATGTTGAAAAATAGGATGTAATTTTTGAGCAGATTGATAGCAACGACAATATTTTTAAAATATCCCTTGTAACTGAGCCATTATAGTATTCATCAGAAACTGAACATTATTGATATCTCAAATTTTGCCTAACTATTTTAATGCATACACTCTCTATAATTGAATAACCTATGACTATTTTCTTCCAAAAATAATTATCAAATAACTTATGAATGTTTTGAATTTACATGTTTATATTTACACCATATTTTAATAATTTATATTTCAGCCTATTCCAATATTCTTGTACATTATTGATTATTTATGTTTTATGTATTTTCACTTTAACATCGTTCTTCGTTAGTACGTTATAGTTGATCAAAATTTTCTACATAACACCTCATATAAAACTCCCCAATTCACCATTGCAAAAAATGAGAAATATACAAATTTGTTTATAGATATTTTTCAAATATATACTAGATTTCGTTTATAAATATATCAATCCAATGGGAATATCTATGACACATTCAAAACTGCGAATTAAAAAAATAACAATAAATTTGATAGATCTATGAATAAAAAAACTTAAAATCAAAATTATTGTGTCTCAAAGCCTCAGAAACAGCCAGAATTTTCATCAAAGAATAAGCTATTCAGACGGTAATTCCAATTTCAATTTGAATCATCATTGGCCAAACCAAGTAAATCAACCAAATTTTCAATAATAAATCTAATCATGTCTCAAGTAAAAGATTAAAAATATAAATAAAATAATATACAGGACAAGGTTAAAAGAGAAAACTGAAGCCTCAGCACCACAGCCAAGATATTTACATCAAAGAACAAACTATTCAGATGGTAATTCCAGTTCTATCGTTATCATCATCAGCTTCAATAAAAAATAAAAATCATAAAAAAAATGTAATCGCACAAATCGGCTCTGCAGAATCACGATTAATAAGATTTGCAGATTCCTATCAGAATGCAAAACAAATGAAATTCACTCTTGATTTTGGTCCAATCATAGCATCGAAGGTCAGAGCTATCGTATAGCTACCAGCGACGTGGCATCGGACCAAGTGCATAAAAATGAATACGTAAAAGATGAACCCTCAGGAGACCCGTTTCAAATCTCACACACAGCGCCGCAAAGAATAAACTCGGCCGATAACAAATATCGGCGGGTGAGAGGATTCTGAGACGGAGCTGCTGTTTAGAGTGTCATACGGCACTTCCTATCAATTATTGGGAGATCCTCCTCACTGGGTTAAATGATAATGACAAAAACAGATCAAGCTATCATAGAAAACAAATTACAATACGATTTTTTGGTTGTGAGCAGCTGCTACTGCAGCTCCAAGTGAATGAGGTATGAAGTTTTTTTAGATGAGTTTTATAGGCGTGGTAACTGTTGTAGGTGGTTATTAGGGTTAGGGATTTTTGGGTTGAAAGGCGCCGCACCTTGTGTTTCTTTGAGTTCTTCTTCCCTTTTTATTGGGCTTTCGCCTTAGTTTGGCCCAACAATGTGAACCTACCAACAACTTACATCTGGCACCCCCATTTTTTCATTATGTCCAAAATATCCTCTCATTTTTTCATTAATCAGTCGTTGTAAAAAAATTTCTCATGCACCAACAAAATTTGATACCGACCATGAAAAATCTCTTGAAATATCTAGTGTATAGTAAAATATTTACTAGATGATTCAAAAAATTGGGTATACTATTATATTTTATCTCGCTTTTTAAAAATCGAATAGTATTATTTTTGTGCGATTGTGATTGAGCTGATATTTTTGTATGATTGTTATTTCAACGATATTTTTGTGTGGTTTATAATAACTTAAAACTTGTATAAATATATGTCTCATTTGTTGATAGATAAAACACCTCACAATATCTCAATTTTGATATCTTACATTTTGTATACTTCAACTGCGTAAGCCCTCCTGTTAGTTTTAGGCTCACACATAACACTTTTTTTGATGTTTTGAAATCCAAATTGGATAATTGCTTGTGCTATCCAAACAACTGAAGGGTAGTTCATATAGTGTATTGTTCACCATTGATTCATAACGAAAGAAATGTGAAGTTCAACAACTTTAAGTTGAAGACTCGTCAAGATTTAAGAATTATGTGGAGTACAATTTATCGATACGAAACAAAAGGTTCAATCAAGGTGGATGTGACAGTTGCGAGATTTGTCGACAATATTATCAAGATATTGAAATGTCATGAATCATCTAGTAATGTTTAAGTTGTATTCATGTTATTTTCATGTTAAGTTATGATAAACAATGTTCATGTTCAATTATGTTGATCCTAAAGTAGTGTAATGTTATTTTTTATATAATACAAATTTTGTATAAAGTGTCAATAATACATAATTAATTCAACATAAACCCAAATTAATGTTAGCGATAATAAATATACACAAATAAAATTTACATTTGTCCACCACATGCAACATGTGTTATATGGGATAATCTGACTTAGACCATATCATTTAAGTTTACTAAATCCATGAGGGTATTTGAAAGAGTGATATGATTTGTATTTGTTATTGGTCAGTCAT